AAAATTCACTAGCTTGTCAGTGACAATTGGTATTGAAGGTTTGAAGAAGAGAAATAAAGGTATATAGAGAAAATATTAAATTTTCACTTATCCTTGGACGTTTCGGAAACGAATCTGCTGAGAATATTGAAACTCAGCACAAGGGAGGATTGGGAGGAGTGTTGCAGACGGGCTACTTATGTCATGAAATTTGGGATGGGCTGAACAATGTTTTGGTGTGGGCTCAGCTCACCCCAGCCCCAATCTTCCGCCGCCAATAATGATAGTACTCGCCGTATTGTGTTATCTTCCAGAATTCCCATTTCTTTCCAGCTATTATAAAATATTGAACAAATCCCGAGTTTCTAGAAGGTCCTATTTAATCCTGCCTAATTTTAATAATCATACTTGATAGCTTGATAGTCCGAATATGGCCCCTTCCTTTTGGTAAGTATACCAAGTAAGTTCAGTTTCTATTGATGTTGTGTCTCTAGCAATAACTTTCCGATATATTGCTTCGCAACAAACCTCACAAACTTTACCAAACTGATATGATATCTGTATACAAATCTAATTCTGTCCAGAGATTTTTGTCTGAACGATAACATTACTCCTGCCTGAGTAATCCGGTTAGTTGATGCAGGAACACGAACACGAACTCTTAAATATAAGTAGAAGTAGGCCAATAAACAACTTCATTTCGATAATTGCTGGTCGTCTGTCCCCCTTGAATAGAAATACATAAAAACTAATTGCTTGTGAAAATATTTGATATTATCCTAGTCCACCTACTCCTAAGAGCATCGGGCTTCGAATTGGGCTAAATTGGGTATATGAAACAAATTTTATACGGGGAAAAAAGCAAAACTCATTGATTGCTGTTGCTGAGGGTGTAATGGGGAAGACCACTGAGGGATGAAATACGTCCAAACCTTTTTCAAACGATGAATGAATCATGGTTTACATTCAATGTGTATTCAGTATTTTAACGGGTGTAATTTAATTGATTGCTGAAAATTAAAGGATATATGGTTCCTTAGCTCATTTTGATAAGAACAGTCCATATATGAACATGAGCCCTAAACCTCTCAACTTTCGACCTCTACGGTGTGAAAATTTTAGGAAAAAATCGTTTTCTCATTATAACTTCAATAACGTTCTAGATATTTTCATGAAATTTTTAATATCTCTACCAGTGGCATACGTAAGCGATAAATCCGAGAGATTTTTCGAAAAAAATATTGTTGTTTCTTTATTGTAAAATTCAAAATTATATTTGCTGGTAGTTTTTTGGTATAGAGCTTATGATGATGACGTTTTTCTCCAAATCGTTCCAATTTCAAAGTCCAAGTCTGAATGATACATCATTTTTTCTCCACCCATTGCATTGTCAATTTTGATAACACCAATTTGATTATTACTTGTAACGTTGCATAGCAATAAACTTTTTTCTGCTTTGCAAGAGAAAGTTCATCTTTTCTGCCTGTGCATGGAGTGTGCTATTTTTTCTGCAACCGAAACAATTAACTCAAATAAATATATGGAGTAACCACCAATGCCGTGCCATAATAATATGTATGCAATGCAACAGCAGGTTTATTCAATTTTCAAAGATAAACACAAAGATAATCAATAATAATAGCGATTACTTATTCCTCTCCATACTACACTGTGTTTGACTTGATAATCAAGTGAAGGTAAACAATATCGTTGTTTGAGACAAAACACTATTGCTTGCAGATCAATCAAGTATTTGAATCTTCAGGCTTCCCTGATGAAAAAAATACTCAACTGAGATGCTTATAGTTATTCCTATACTTAACTATAATAAGGTGTATTTATATCTCCAGCATGGGTATGGCGAAATCGGAAACAAATCAGGTATGCGTCCCAACCCAAATAACCAACCGTAACAATGTTGTTTATTCATGATTACGTCTAGTACATCCTTTTTAGTTCTTAGGAGCTAAAGTTGAACTTTAGCTCCTAGGTACCAAATTTCAACTTCAGCTCCTAGGAACTTAATATGTTGCCTAGAAACATACCTATTTTTGTGTCAGTAATAGAAACGTCAACTCAAGAGCTAATTTTGGTATTAAAATGGACGACTTTTGTGTCGGTTTCAGAAAAAAGACACTTTTGATGTCATTTGGAGAAAAACACTTTATCTAATGAATATATACGTATAACCAATAGCTTTCCACCTCTTCCATTATCACCAATTCCATCGAATTATTCATGATCTCCGCGATTCCGTCAGCATATTGGGCATATAAAACCCTGTGGCCAAAAAGGCCGTATGTTTGCCTTGTATTTATCGCCGTGGACCCCTGATTGTGCCATTGTCATGATAATTTAATATCCTAATACGTTTAACGACACCCTAATTTCATCCCCCGAAGAGACTAACAGCCCGAGGGGTGGAGGGGTGGCTGATTTTACGCTGGTCGCGCTCGCTTATTAGTTTTATTGCCATCGATTGACGTTCTGTTATAGTGTCGACAGGAAAAAAAATGTAAGGAATACCTCAAGGCTCTTGCCTTAGCCCATAGTTCTCTCTTAATTTTTCATAAATAGTTTTTTTTTATATTCTGGTGTCCACGAAAAGGGATATCTTATAATGTTCAGAGAACATCGTGAGAACCAAGGGAAATATGGTAGAAATTGGTGTTCTTCTTAAATTTCTGGAGGCTATATGCCTCGGGGAACACCTTCCTTGGCAATGTGTTTCAGAGCCTCGCTGTTCGTTGGATGAACGAGTCTTTGGAAAGAGATGTTCTGTAGGTCTCCATCAAAGTGACCACGAAGGGGTGCGAAGCCTCAACTCGACAAGTAAATCTCGCGGGGACTGCCAATGGAGGAACAATTGTTGATATTTCAGAAGAGCATCGTCCATGAAAATATCTATAAAATAGAGCCAGATCGCCAACTTGTCCAAGGTGTTCCAGAGAAGTGAGTGAGATTGTGTGCGATGCATCACCCACGAGACGAACTGCCTTTTTTGGACAGAATCCAACAGTTTCAGGGTATATTTGGGTGCTGCACTCCAAATATGGGAACAGTATTCAAGGACACGTTGGATCTGTGCCTTATAGATCATAAGCAGCTGACTGGAAGTGAAATAGCTCCTGGCCCGAAACAGAAAACCAAGTCGTTGTCGTTGTGATGCACTTTTAGCGATTGATTTTCACGTGATTTTCCCCAGAAAGGCTATTGCTGATAGATGCTGATAGTAATACCAAGCATCGAAATGGATGTCTTCAAAGGTATGGTTACTCCTGACAAGCTTATGTTGGGCACAGTGAGATCGGCATTTCTAGAGGAAAGGCATGCTTGTGTTTTGTTTGCATTGAAATCTATACCAAGTTATTGGATTCCCATTCGAGAATTGTTGCCAAGTTCATATTTATGTTGTCAACATTTCTCCCTCGTTCGTTTCTGATTTGCCTGGCTGGTATGTCTCATGTCAAGAAGTTCAAGGCATCCAGCAATTTCTGAGATGATTTCAACTTATTTCCCCAAATTATGAAGTAAACATCGATGTATTCAGGCAATCAATAAGTGTTCCGCCATTTTGTAGTTGGTGATATATCACAACACCCCTTTTTCTATTTAATTTTTTCCCAGATATGTCACCCAGTCGCCATCTTTGAATTTTCATCTGTCAATTTCACTTCAGAATATAGTATTCATCGTTCATAAAATGAAACCATTCCCACCAAGTCAAACATATCTATGCTCGCTATTTCCACCATCAGATCTACTCTTTCATGGGAAAGTCGCGACATAAACTTCACAAAAATTCAGCGAAATATGTTTTGATGTTATGAACTCTTTCACATAAGTGATAGATGTTCTGAATTTGTTGAAAGCACGCACATTTCATCATATTTGTTATATAATTTATTGAAGATGATTCCTTTTTCAATAGATAAAGTACGTATACCTATGTACTCATTTATTGACAAAGCGATTGCCTAATTTGCATTATATCGAATAATATGCCGATGTCGAAGCAATGGAACATAAAACTCCATGTTCGAAGACCGCCAACACAAAGAACACTTTACAAGTTTACAAGTCATAATCCAATAGAAAGAATGATCTGCAGCCCAAACACACCAGCATCAGCATCGTCATCGCATCGTAGGGGGCGATGAAATTTCCAAAACAAACACCGCGGGGCGAGGAAACCAGTGGCGTAACTACGCAAATAGTTATTTATTATACAAGGAAAAAAAGGAGTAGATTTTTGCTCCAGATTGTGTTCTTATATTCTAAATCTGAAAATTGTGGACGTGAAATTTGAAGTTTTTAAGACGAGGGGCACCTGTGCTGTAGGCATCTTTATCATTCTTTAGAAGTAATCAAATATCTGATTTCACTTCTGTCACTCTAATTCTGTGATTCGATTTCAAAAAATTGCGAATTTAGTGGTTGTTTAGTAATTTAAGTAACCGCGAAGTCGAATGCAAGATAGGATTTGCAGTTCTTTCTCGGAGACGGTATTATTGACTTATTCTTCGGAACTAAGCACAATAAAAGCAATCAACAGTGTATATATATGTAATAAATATCCAGGAAAAAAGTACTCACTTTTACCCAAATTGTTTGCACAATGAAATGATTGTTGAGTCAACAAAATATGATGTTGTATTCAGTTAAATATTTGTCAAAATAAATTCAATTTTGCCGAATAGACAAAATACATGTATGATTGATTGAACAATGAGATAATAGTTGGATCAACAAAACTTGTTTTATGTCAACTATAAATGTTGTTGAATGAAATGAAACTTTTGTTCAAGTAAGCAAATATTTCGATCAAATTATTTCGTCTCTTCGAATAGGTTGCTTATTTGGAATGAACATATATTTTGTTAATTCCGCAAAATTGTGTTAAATTTAACAAAAAAAAATAACCAAAATCATTTTGTTGGTGCAACAAAACTTTTTTCCGTGCATAAGCAACCATCGCATTTAAAAAAATATTGTCATGAATTCAGTTCCGATTGTTTCAGGTTGTGGTCCAGGACATGCGTTGCTGGGCAAAACCAGACGACCAAGGACAGCATTCACCTCTCAGCAATTGCTCGAGCTGGAGAAGCAATTTCGACAAAACAAGTACCTGTCTAGACCCAAGAGATTCGAAGTAGCAACGAATTTGATGTTAACGGAAACTCAAGTATGTATTATCATACACGGAAAAAAGGAATTGTTGAATCAAGCAATATTTATTTGAATGATGCAAATATAAGTGTCATATATATCCATAGGCCAATCAAATAATTATATTTTGAGGAATTAATTTCCAGCAAGCTGGAAATCATTTAAATACCTTCATTCGGTCCCAAATGCGTGTAATCTAAGTTTGCACCATTCCAGGAGTTGAGCTTAACTTTTGATAGCCAAAAAACCGCCAAATTTTTGCACTTTTTTTATTTTTTTGCTTATAGCTGCAAAATGGTTCATCGGTCGAAAAATGTCATTCTATTCAATAATATAGAAGGCAAAATTCTGCGTCGAATGACATCTGAAAACATCAAATTCCGTTTAGTAGTATAGCCGAAATCGAATGTTAAAAAAGAAGAAAATTTCGTAGTTCGGTGCAAGCTTACATTTTGCGGCTTTCCAAGACGACATATCGTGAAAACAGATACTCCTATTGAAAGAACCCATGGAATAAAAGTTGTAGAGAATAACATTTTACGTTATATAGATAGATGTCCAAATGTTTAAGTTTTCTTGATTTGTCCAATTATCCGGATATCTGAATGCCCGGTTCAGCTTCGGTCCCAAATTTTGCATCAATTTATAATTATTTTTCATCTAGTGCGCGAAATGCTACTTTGGTGATCGAGAGCTGATTTTTTTAACGAGGCGCAGCCAAGTTAAAAAATAGTCGAAATCACCAAAGTATTTCGCGCACGAGTTGCAAACAAATTTTTTTTTACAAACGCCAAACAAAATTCATTGTAAATAATAAATAAAATTAGGTAGTGAAAAATTTTGTCACAATTTGAAACGAGTTTAAAAGCCTTAATTAATCAAAGAAAATGCGAACATGAATGCTGCCACATTTTGTGTTGCATGCCTATTATATATTGATTTATGCCACAAACTGTTCATCAATGAAGTGTTTTCGTTCCTTCATTGTACCTTAACTATTAGGAACTATGATTATGAAATTTTATCCTCTACAACTTTTATTCAATGAATTTTTTCAATAGGAGTATCTGTTTTCAAGAAATGTCGTCTTGGAAAGCCGCAAAATGTAAGTTTGCACCGAACTACGAAATTTTCTTTTTTTCAACATTCGATTTCGGCTATACCTCTGAACGGAATTTGATGTTTTCAGATGTCATTCGACGCAGAATTTTGTCCTCTGTATTATTGAATGGAATAACATTTTCCGTCCGACGCACCGTTTTGCAGCTATAAGCAAAAAAATAAAAAAAGTGCAAAAATGTGGCGGTTTTTTGGCTATCAAAAGTTAAGCTCACCACCTGACATGGTGCAAACTCAGATTACACGCATTTAGGACCAAATAGAGGTATTAAAACGATTTCCAGTTTGCTGGAAATTAATTCCTCAAAACGGTTTTTTTCGATTTAATTTTATTAGCCTACCACGACGAAATATAATTTTGAAATCAGTAAATCTCAACACACTATATGAACCACTCATAATTTGACTCTATTTCGAAGACCTGTATTTTTTTAAATAATTGACCGATCTTCATGCGGTTTTCGATGTCAGATGTGATATTTCATCATCTGCAGAGAGAGCTCTAACACTCTGAGAAAATTCGGAGAACAAAACTTACACAGGGTGTAAAGTGGAACCATTACACTAAGGTCTACATTTCCAATGCTGCCAGAACTCGAGAATTTTTTTTCTGATCAAAAGTCAGTCATATTATGATACACTGGGACCTCATCTCGGGACGGTTTCGTGATTTCTCTTTAATTGGCCATTGGAACAAAAATTCGATTTTTTTTCGAAAGTCTTGCATTTCTTGATTTTCTTCTCTAGAACTCCACTTGAGATGACTATTGGGAAGAACTATTCTCATGTTTTGTGGAGGACAATGAAAGACGAAGAAAGCACTTTTTCGGAATACACAGGATGATAAGAAAATAGGACAAATTCTCATTTCAGTAAAAATAATCAAAAATGGTGACTAAAACTATGGCCCATTCGATTCAGTATATTCAGAAACTGCCTTCTCGATATCCATTAGACTATTAACTCGAGACGTTTTCGAAAATTCGCCTCTAATTGAAATACAGGATGAAAATTCTCAATTCAAACTTGTTGCCCACACTGCATCCATCATTCTGGCGTCCCATATAATTATTGACGTTTTAAATGTCAAAAAACGTGGTTGGTTGGTCACGTATTGACCAATTCGGCTTCTGTTGTATTGGTAGACCGTGAAATGGTCGATTCTGATTGGTTCTCGATAACAAGAGTTGAATAGTCAACTGAAAAATCGCTGAATTGCTGAAAGTGAAATGATATAGTTGATGATGAAGTGAAAACTCAAAGTAATTTCCACAAGTGTTAAATAAAATGGAATCTCAATAAGGAACCGTTTCAGAGTTCTACCGATTCCCAGGATTATTTTGATTACCCTGTACACGAAACGATCGTGGTGTTTGTTTTAAATGTAGATCAAGAGTTCGGTTTGGTATAAATGTGACGGAATTTTGATAAATCGATGCCATTTCCAGGGCAGTTAGTCAAGCTGATCCTGAAATACGACCACTGTCTGTTTGTTTGAAGTTGTTCTCAACTCCGCAATAATTCTTAGAAGCGAGTAAGCCATTGCGGAAATTAAATATAAGAGTGATATTTTTTTGTGGAAATACATTTCTGAAGTATGGTGATACCTTAGCAGAGGTCAGGATACAAAACAGTTCATTCAAAATTAATTGATGAAAATTCACCGATTTCAAATGCAGGATATAAGTATCATCATCAATTCCGGCGTTCGACAAGGATCAATTTTGGCACCAACATTATTCCTGCTTCATATCAATGATCTGTTGGGAGTAACAACTTGCCCCATCCACAGCTTTGCAGATGATAGTACCCTCCATACTGCTTTCTCTTTCAGAATTCCCATTTCTTCCCAGGAAACTAAGACCTCACGGCGCAGGCAGGTCAATGCTGTCAATGAAGATCTTGCTGAAATCACAGCCTGGGGAACAAACAACCCAGTTGAATTCAACGCCACCAAAACTCAAGCCTGCATTTTCTCTAGAAAGGCGGAACTCAGTATGCCCGATATTGTAATGTCTGGCTCCACCATCCCCACCAAGCCCACCATATCTATGCTCGGTATTTCCATCAGCAACACTCTTTCATGGGATAATCATGTCAGATCCATCGCAAAAGCTGTTTCCCAAAAACTCGGATTCTTGTTCCGTGCGAAAAGCTACTTTACACCTCAACAGCTACTCATGATCTACAAAGCGCAGATACGGCCTGTTCTAGAATACTGTTCCCACATATGGGGTTCAGCACCAAAACATACGCTGATGCTCTTAGATTCCATCCAGAGAAGAGCCATTCGCCTGGTGGGTGACGCCACACTCACTCACTCTTTGACGTCATTAGAACACCGTAGAAAGGTCGGCGACCTTTCACTTTTCTATCGATACTTCCACGGGAAATGTTCTTCGGAAATCTCTGCTATCATCCCTTCACTAGCAATACCAATCAGACGAACTAGACAAGCCCAGTCAGCACATCCTTTCGTTGTCAACCTTGAAAGATGTCGAACAGCACTTTATCAAGACTCCTTCATCCATAGAACGGCTAGGCTCTGGAATTCATTGCCTGTGGAAGTGTTCCCAACAACATATAATCTCCAAAAGTTCAAAAAAAATTCCAATACCTACCTCCTGTCCCTATCCTCCCTAGGAACGCACGATGTTCTTTGAACATTATAGGGATTCCCTCTCGTGCGCTCCAAGCGATAAAAAAATAAATAAATAAAGGAGAACATTGATTTCTGTTCGAATTATATTTTGCAGCAGAGACTTGTATATCAACACTATATAATCTCCAAGACCTCAAGAACATTTGGGCATCTATAAGTTCCAAGGTGGTTCAGGTTTTCTTCGTGAAAGGCCCTGTATATATTGATCAGTGAGAGGAAAATAGTAATTGAATTCAGTTTTAGTATTTTGACACCTGACATTTTCGACCAATCGATACCCTGTATTTTGTATCGTAACATTCGTAACCATAGCAACTAAACAAATTTCAGAATTTTTTCCCGCCCCCTTGGGGTAAGAAGCATGAAATTACACTGGGAATTTCATGACGTTTATAAGTTAAATGACATTTACATTCAATTAGAGATTATGTCAAAATCATTCTAAATGTTGATAGGTCCCTGAAAAGGAATATTCTCGATAAATTATGAACATAAATGAAATTAAAAAATGTGTATACATACATATAAAGAAATACATTGAGTATTCGCATTTTCAATGTGATAGAAATATCAATTTTTTCTCGGATTATTCAACAGAAAATATATTTCTACCTACTTTAGCTGAATGAATTTGAGAAGGACTGAGATATTGAGCTACTAGAGATCTTTCAACTAAAGTCGTTTAATTATATTTTTCACCTGATAATATCACTTGGGCGGATTTCATTGATACTAAAAAGTACTTCGAGTTTCTCGAGAGAAATATATGTTTACCAACTTTAGTAAAATGAATCTGTGAAAAACTGAGAAATGGAGCTACTATCTATCCACTTATTTTTCATTATTTTGTGTAACTAAAGTGAGTTAATCGTGTTTTATTCAACAATGTTATGGATTTGATTTTTGAATTTGAATTTTATCAATACTAGGTACATATACTGCTTCGAGATCACGAGATCATTGTAAAAAATATGTTTACACCAACTCTTGTGGGATAATTATTAATATTTTGCGTAACTATAAAGTCGGTACCTATTTTGAATTTTATTTAGCGTAATATTATTATTGTATTTCTCAACTTATATTTCGGCTTGGAACCGGAACTTTTTCTTAAACATCGAATATACAGAAAATTCTCCCTCGTCTTTGATTAATTGAATAATAATTGATCTCGTATGGTATTATATAAGTGGAAATCCTTCCTATAGCAATAGGAATTATGCAGTTCATTCTTACTTCCAGGTGAAAATTTGGTTCCAAAACAGGCGAATGAAGTGGAAGCGTAGCAAAAAGGCACATCAAGAGGCGAAATCCTCGAAGGAACCGGAACAGAAAACACCCCCCTCCACTTTGAATTCTACCCCCGCCACTTACAAATCCACTTCCTCCATTTCCAGTTCGGAGAGTGCGGAAAGCCAAGTTTCCGTGGAAACCACCCAGGAGGTCAGGAAGATCCAGGAAAACGAATCTCTGTACAGACCTTACGTAGTTTAGAAACAAAAAAACTGAAAAGTGTCGCTCAAGAAAGAAGCTTCTGAGTGCTGAGTTGTCGAAATAAATAACTTGGTATGTTCAAAAATTCTCAATACGCTGGAAACTATGTTTGTAATTCTTCATACACATTACCTCTTTTTGTTTCGTTATACAGGGTGGTCCGGTTTGTAATACAAAAAATTCAACAGTGTCTTGTACTCGTTGTAATAATAAATAAAGTTCATATAAACATATACTTTTAGACGCGTCGTTTTATAGATATAGGTGTTGAAAATACGAGTCTGAATATTGGTTTTTGATGAAAAGTTTGCAACAGTTTGAGATAAATCAACAAAATTTCTCACAGACACTAAATTTTCTACGCTCTATAAGATGAAATAAAGATTATTCCTTGAAGTAATTCAGTGGTAGCTAAATCTGTGGGTGGTGAAGGTGAATTAATGTTTTATTGTTGTTGTTGTAACGCATTGAAAAAATACAACAGAACATACTCATAAACCTGTATGTTCTCACATTTTGTACTCGTAAATGGAGAACTGAATGCACATATAAAAATTTGGGTGATTTTTTCTTCACCACCTTTAGATTCAGCCGCCACTGAATCACTTCATGAAATAATTTCAATTTCATCTCATAGAGTGTAAAAAGTTTAGTATCTGTGAGAAATTTTGATGATTCACCTCAAACCGATTCGAGATTTTCATCAAAAAACACTATTCAGACTCGTATTTTCAACACCCCATATCTCGAAAACGACTTGTTCAAAAGTATATGTTTACATAAACTTTTTTTATTATTTCAACGAGTACAACACACTGTAGGATTTTTTGTATTACAAACTGGACCACCCTGTATAGTCAATATTTTCACTATACCCAATGTTCGCACTATAAATCGATGAAGATTATTTCATCATACATCATCAGATATACTGAAAATGAGGTAACTCATGAAACATGATCCGATAATTCGATAGTGAGAAAAATTTGGTCATACAGGGTCCCAGAATAACGTTCGTATACTTCGGAAGGCAATTCTGCAGATGCTAACAAGATAACATGTTATCCCTATCAACATGTGAAAATGTTTCCTTTGAAGGCAGGTCCCTATAAATGCACTTTTTTTCAATTATCTTTGTTATCATTGAACCTAGAAGCACAAAATCCGGTACCTTAAGGTGATTTGATCTAAGAAATGGTTTCGTGATACGAGAAACATGATTTAATATACAGTATACAGGGAGGTGCGAAACTCGTAACCAATGCTATAAAAATGCCCCAAGTTCTTATTGTTTCAAGATTTATTCCAAATATACTACCAAAATATGATTCTCCAAACACTTACATGAGAATTTTGTGAAACGAACCGTTTTACAGAGAAGTGCATATTATTTTTCATTCTGATGGCCGAAAACAAGGTTGTGATATGTATAGTAAATTTATGTTGCGGATATCTTCTCAACAAATCAAAATCAATATTAACTCTAATGGAATTAAACTAACTGATGGAAATGTAGAATTGTACTTATCATGTTCTAATTTCTTGAACTTAAGAACACATGCACAATATTATTGTGATTTTTTACAGCGTCAAAATTGAAAATTTGCCCTTTCTCTCAAAAACGGTTCGTTTCACGACATACATTTCAAAAATACAGTTTTCATGTGTTTGAAGAATCATATTCTGGTAGTCGACGTGAAATAAATCTTGAAACAAAAAAGTAGAAGCATTGTTATAGTATTGGTCATGATTTTGGCAACTCTCTGTATATTGTATATCATATTTTTCGTACCAAGAAACGATTTCTCAGTTACCAAATTTCGTGTTTCTAGGATCAATGATAAAATAGATAACAACGCCCTTAGAAAGCATTTTCTTACATAATATGCTGATAGAAACATTTTTTCTTATTTTCATCTGCTGAATCACTTCCCAGAGTATACGAACGTCATTCTGGGGAACCCTGTACATTCAAAATCCATAGGATAACTATGAATCATTTTATTCTAACCAAAACCAAAACTAAGATTTATTTTATCCCTCTATTACACATCAAGACAGGCGTATGTAGATATATTGGACCTAGTGAGAAATCTCACCTTGTCCAATATATCTACGTGCACCTATCTTGAGCAACCATCATACAGTGGGGTCAAAGTTGATTGATGATGATCATTTTTTATTCAAATCAAAACCAAATATGATTTATCTTACCCCTCCACTACACATCAAGACAGACGTATGTAGATATATTGGACCTAGTGAGAAATCTCACCCTGTCCAATATATCTACATGCATCTATCTTGAGCAGACATCACACAGTGTGGTAAAAATCTGAGAATTGTTGGCCCGATCAAAACAATTTATGTTATGCTCATTCCACTCTAACCAAAACCCAATATGATTTGCTATTCCCAATTTTCACTACACATAATATAAAGACAGGCCTATGCAAATATATTGGATGTAGTGATCTGATGATCATAGCCAATTTTCGCAGTTTCGCTCCGATCATTTCTTCCAATCCAAATTGATTATACTGAGAATTGGGTATAGTGTCTTGTAACATAATATGGGTAATGGTATGATGAGACGTTGTTGAGACTCCATTTCATTTTGAGCGTATCAAGGAAACTCTAATTATTGTAGAATGTTGTAATATATGTATATAGATTTCGAGAAATTATTGCGTGGTTCAATATTGTAATAAGGTTGACTTTGAATCATTTACGTTGTAAGTTCTACCTCATTAATTTTTATATGTTCGATCATTGTAAATATTTGAAGTTCCTAAGTAAAGCGATAAGTCGATAAATAAATAAAATTTGATCAGAATATCTTCTCGTTTTATTTTCCAACATTGAAGATGTCATAGCCGATTCATTAGATGGATTAGATGATTATGATTGATGACGATAAAATATGATTGAAGTATAAAAAAATAAAAATATACAGGGATTATCGGTTATCTGATTTTGAAATATATGTATAGAAAAACTATGAGAAGACGTGATAACAGCAGATCTGAGAAAATGGAACACATGTAGGAGGTGATCATAATCATCTGTTATTTATTATAGAGGAAGATAAATAGACAATAGATTTTCGATTATAGATTCTTGATATAATATATAAAAAAAACTATCTGTAAACAGGGTGTATCTGAATAACTCCAAGGAGTGATTCCTTGTGATATTTCAGGAAATAAAGTTCATATCAAGATGTGTCCTAACTTTCTTCGTTTTTAAGATACAGGGTAAGAATATTTCAATTAAAAATCTTTTTTCTATTCATTTCTCAACTGTCTTTCCATCAATTTCGATAAAACGTTTTTTTTTTCTGTTGAAAGTAATGTGGAGCTTCTTCTGGTGCGAATAGATACGAAATAATATTTCCAGTGGCGTCACAGTGGGTAATTTTATCGATATTCATGGGTAATGATAGGTGTTTTCAAGACTTCCATTGAGATTACTCAATAACCCCAATTAAAATCATTTTGAAATTTTGGAGCTTTCTTCAATCTCCATCCATACTGGATTTTGGCACCATCATATTATGGAAGCTCAAACAGGGGGGTTATAAATAAAAACAATTAATACTTCCAAGTCCAACATCCTGTATCTCAAAAACGGAAGCAAGTTAGGATACATGTTTATATAAACTTTATTTGCTAGAATATCACAAGGAAACACCGCTTGAATTTTTTTGGTGTTATTCAGATATACCTATAGGTTTATCGAAATATTTTTCAATTCATTCATATTCTTGTATTTTAAACATTTTCCAAATGAGATGTCCCTGACTATTTATCATTTCTCTCTAATTTTGTGCAACAAATCTGAATTATCTTAATTTTTACATAGTTTCAACTCAATATGATTACACCATCCGGAAGAAAGTCAAAACTGAGCATACCTACTCAAATTGTTTACAAGTCAAATCCTGAATTTCAGGAATACGAAAAAAAATGACATACCTACGTCACTAGAGAATCAAAATCACCATTTCTGGGATGTCCTCACTTTGTTCATGACGAAGTCAAAGATAAATAAGAGATCTGTGAATCAGAAGAGTTCTTCAACATCACTAAATGAAAATTTGAATATGGACTCCAGGAGTATTCACAATTATTTGAGAGATTGTAGGGAAGCATGGGTACAATTTTTACTGAGAATTCTGGCAAATACAAAATCGGTATATGAATTTTATAATTGCGAGTTTAGTATTTTTCGTGTATTATGAATAATAATTTCAAAATCATTGCACACCATGCACGGCATTAGAACTACGAATTCAGTGGATTGCCAAATTTTAATTTTAAGTTGGTCTGAAATCTTGGAGACATAAAATTATCTTTTTTGAACAATTTCTGGGAACACTCTGTCAGAGTGCGTCCGCCACGTTTTCAAATTCTGCGCATCCACCATATTTTAAATGATTTCCACCATTTTTTGAAATCATCTCTCTTCTATTTCGTCTGCATTTAAGACATATTACTTGATAGCCATAATGAGTATACATGGTGGGTCACGGTCAATGGTACATTAGACATCTATCACATCTGGCACGAAGATTAGAGATATAGGGTGTTCAAAATCGAGATTTTTCAACTTCAGGATTTTTTTGTGTCCAAACTATACATTATCGTTCAAAATGGCTCTCATGTCCCTTACACAACTTCTGATTTACAATCTACTGACATTTAATTGCAACAGAGACAGGATGATCAGAAAGTTTGAAATATGCATAATTTTGAAATAACTCCGCAACCTCAAAACTTCTCTTGAGATTTTGATAATATCAATTATCATCTGAGATAAGCCCTTTTCCCAAATTAAAAACCTTTTTTACATCCTTAATAGAAGGCAAATGGTAAAGCAGCATATTCATTATCCCAGATACTTCATTTCCCTAATATTTCAAGAAAATCGCCTTATAATTGATAACTGAGATAGTATGAAGAAAATGACACACTGTGTATTATGATATTGATTACCCT